GAAAAAGAAAAAAAGGGAAAAGAAAACCAACAGACAGACAAAACCCAATGCAAATAGCAGAAACAAAACCCAACAAACTGCAACAACAACAACACAGGAAAAGAAAGAAAACAAACATACAAACCAAACCCAAGACAATTGATTAAAACAAAAGCAAACAAACAGAAACAAAGAAACACACAAAAAACCCCAAGAAAACATAAAACGAGAACAAACAAAATAACTCAAAAATGAAAGCAGTCAATAAAGGCTAAACTAGGGGAAAAAAAAAGAAAAGCAGAATAAGAACAGAAAGCAAACATCAAAAAAAGCAAAGAAACATAAAACAAACACATAAAAATGATCAAAAATGGAAAAAAGGGCTAAATACAAGAAAAAAACACAAAACAACAAAAAAATCAAAGTAAAAATAGAAAAATATATATTAAAAAAAAATTAAAACAACAACAAGAACTTCACCTTCCTGAGTCCCCTTTTCTTTTTTTCTTTCTTTCATCCTACCCCATTGCAAGGGGGTTTTTCTTGTCCTTTTAGGTGTCTGAAGTCTTCCACTAATGTTCATCCGGTGCTTTATGAGAATTGTTCCATTTATGGATGTATTCTTTATGCACTTGACAGGAGAGATGAATTCTGTCTCCTCCTATTCTGCCATCTTGACTCCTTCCCCCCACCCCATCCTAATTCTAATGAACCATAATCTCTGAGGGTGGGAACCAAACATGCATATTGAATAAATATTTTATAAGTGATTTTTTTGAAACTAGAGCATTGTAAACAACTGTCTACTTAAAGGCAAACTATCTATAATTTAGTAATATACATATAGTTGTTTGTCTAGGAACATATATCTATAACAGGCAGATGATCAATCAGTAAGTTAATATCAGCATTTTTTTAAAAGTGCAGATTCTGGGGTCATTATACCCTTCATTTGTGTTGAGTACAACACAGTGTAATAAAAATACTGATCATGAGGAATTCCCTGGTGGTCCAGTGGTTAGGAGTCTGCACTTCCACTGCAGGGAGTGCGGGTTCGATCTCTGGTTGGGTAAATAAGTTCCCGCATGCCATGTGGCATGGCCAAATCATGAATTATCTGGAAAAATGTTTATTTATATTCCTCATATCTAAGGAAAAATGCTTATATTATTCAATTTAGATATATTGTCATCACAAAGTCAGTTATATTCAAAATTGACATAATTCCATTATTCAGAATGAATCTCCTGTTTCCCTATTACCTTTATATGTTTAAAAATAAATTATTCATACATAATTTTCTGTTTTTTCAAAAGGTATTTAAAAATAATTTTGAAGTTTCTTATTGATTAATTTTACTGTTACAAATCTTTATTTTAGAAAATAAGTTTCTCTTCATTCCCTTTTTATGAAATTGGTTGGATTTTTTGTGCTGTCTGCTCCCATAAGGTCAAACAAATATTGTGCTAAGCATTATGAATGCAGACATGAATGTGATATTACCTGGATACAGGTTGCTTACCTGTCTAGTGGGAGAGAAAGACAAGGTAATAAGTTGTTAGGACACAGTGTAACAATATTCTTTGCTGGCTGTCTGCTGGAAAAAGATGTCTTTTCTTATCTAATAGCATTTTCATGTTTGAAATTTTATAGTGTAATGCTGCTGAAAATCGAAAGAGATATTGCATTTTTAAAAGATGGGCATATGTGGATTTTAATTAGAAGAGGCATTGAGCAGATATTTCCTTTTGAAGACTTGCTTAGGTTTGGTGAAACTAAGTAGGATAGAGTACAGTTGTTTCCTAGCTCTGAATGTTTTTAAAAACCGATGTCATGACCCATGTTTATAATGATGATCTTAAATGTGGCAGAAACTGAAGTGCCTTCTTAAACATTAAAATATTATATTGTGTTCAATGTAATATCACAGACTTGAAGGGGACTTTAAAGAACAGTCTAACATAATCTGTTTGTCATGTGAGAACACTGAAGTAGAGTAGTTTGTGATTTGGCCAAGGCTGCTTAGCTTATGCATGGGAGAACTAGGAGGAAAAATTAGGCTGTGACTCTTCCGTCAATGTTCTTTACACTGGAGAAAACTTCCAGTATGCTTTTGTTATATACCATTCTTTGAAGACTATTACTACATTCATAATATGTGGTATAAAATCAGTTAAAATAATATTAATAAGAGTATACAATTTGACATTGCTTTTGATGTACATGTAGTGCAAAAGTGCATAAAGATATGCCATACTTTAATATAATTCCAAAATGTCAGCTACAGAACATATGTATGTGCATTAAAAAAGGTCCTTGACTTTTTACAAAAAAGATGCCTTGAAAAGGGGAAACTCACTCTCATAGCTATTTAAAAGAGTCCAGTGAAACCCTCAGAATGGGAGAAAATATTTGCAAATGAAGCAACTGACAAAGGATTAATCTCCAAAATTTACAAGCAGCTCATGCAGCTCAATAACAAAAAAACAAGCAACCCAATCCAAAAATGGGCAGAAGACCTAAATAGACATTTCTCCAAAGAAGATATACAGATTGCCAACAAACACATGAAAGAATGCTCAACATCATTAATCATTAGAGAAATGCAAATCAAAACTACAATGAGATATCATCTCACACTGGTCATAATGGCCATCATCAAAAAATCTAGAAACAATAAATGCTGGAGAGGGTGTGGAGAAAAGGGAACACTCTTGCAGTGCTGGTGGGAATGTGTATTGGTACAGCCACTATGGAGAACAGTATGGAGGTTCCTTACAAAACTACAAATAGAACTACCATATGACCCAGCAATCCCACTACTGGGCATATACCCTGAGAAAACCAAAATTCAAAAAGAGTCATGTACCAAAATGTTCATTGCAGCTCTATTTACAATAGCCAGGAGATGGAAGCAACCTAGGTGTCCATCATTGGATGAATGGATAAAGAAGATGTGGCACATATACACAATGGAATATTACTCAGCCATAAAAAGAAACAAAATTGTTATTTGTAGTGAGGTGGATGGACCTAGAGTCTGTCATACAGAGTG